TGATGTTTAAAAAGTGAGCTTCACTATCTAAAGAAACACTATATTAAGTAATTCCCATATTGTAAATGTTGTGAAAATTGTTCAAACTTGAAATAATAAAGATATGTGATCCACACGGTGTTATGAGAACGCAATAAAGTGAAATGTATATCAATGTAATATCATGACTTTTGTTATAATATGCCATTCCCTTGATATGGTGTATTAAACCGTAGCACGTACCTATTTATTAGGGTTAGTTGTTTACATGTGTGAGCTTATATGTATTATTTTGCAACAAAAATGTTGAATGGCATTGCGTTAAGTTATTAAATTAAGTTTGGTTGCTAATATACACAGTAGGTACATTAAACTCATGAGAGTATACAACAGTATTAGTGACAAAGTGTAATTACTGAAGTCCAGCCAGAAGGGTACTGCAATGAAATGATATTTATTGAATATATAATTTATACACTCACCAAAGACGGCAATGCTGTAGGCGACAGATTAGAAACAGCACGTTTCCCACAGTATAGTCAACACCGACGAAACCTTGGTCCACCACAATTAACGCCACCCACTCAAGACGACGATGTACGGCCCTTGGAAATCTAAGGCGACACATTATTTATTATAATATATTGATATGTATTAAAGTGTTGAGTGTGAAATACCTGTGTACGGAAACGTCATTGATGCTGTCCACAATTCCGCATAGCGTTTGGCCATTTTGAATAGCCTAAAAGCATCACGAACAGGCTAGAGTCTATATTATATAATATAATCATAATAATAAGTAAAAAGTAAATACTAAATATGAAAAACTCGTCATAAAAAAAATCGTTGCAATCAAATATAATGACTGTATCAGTTTGTTATCAGCGGTGGTGTTTGAGACTTTGGCGACTCGTCTGTTATTTTTAGAATTAATAGGTACACACTGGCCATACCTACATCGTGATGTACATAAAAAATGGAAAATTAAGAAAAATGACATACCCAGCTCGTAGTAGCACAATCAACTGTTTACGCAAAATGCCAAGCGATAAAACACGTGTACCGCAATGGTAACGCGCCGAACGCGTTATGGCCAGCGGAAAACGATGTCTGTAACGGTGAAAATATTTTCGTTCGCGATAAGCGCTGCCATGAATACACCTGTAGTTCATCTGAATATTATATACTCATATAGTAGTAGATATAAAAATTTGTACTCACCGGTATGTGAAAAGCGCCCAATGCAGAACAACAAAACTCAAAGGAATGCACTGAATATAAGCACTAAATAATACACCGTATTAGGCTTTTCTGTGAGAGTTGAGGATTGCCGGCTGAGACACTGGAGGCAGGTTGATAGTTTGACGTTTCTCGTCGCTAAAGTTGTCCCCCCGCGGCTCCACTCCACCCCACACCACGTGTATAATGTTGCGTTTAAATAACGGTCGTACTCGTGATAGTGGGTACGTAACTCGTTTTCGCAATTTTGTAACCCTGCCTCTGCCTTATACGACGTTCTGTATTGACTGTGGAATGTGGATCGATCTTGGATACTATTCTTGACTCTTGTTCGTTCAACATATTATTTTCACAATAATTATTGTTCTTTCACAACAATCGTTTTCGGAGTTTCAATTTTTCCGTTCCAATCTTCCGAGGGGTATTCCTCTTCGTGCATTACGAACCATAGATAACAAAGTCATATACGCTCCCGCTAACCATAGAGGAACGCGATCCGTTTCACGCACTCGGTCTCAACTCGCAGGTCGCAAGCGCAATTCGCCACCAACGCTTCACAAGTAGGTACGAGTGTACGACGGCCGTCCCGAAGTCTATTTTTTAGTGGGCCGGACGAACCACATTGATCAGAAGCGGTCCCGTCGTCATCGCGAGTTTTTCCCAATTCGCCGTCCGTCCGATCGGTTTGAATATCGCAACAGCAGCAATACAGCCGACGGGCGACGACACGGTACCCGCCACAAGAACGCCATGTGTCTGGAGACTTGTCAAAGACGCCGATGTGAGTTTACACAAACCGATTTATTAATTGCCAGTATTTATCATTGCAATTAGACAACTTCGTGTGCAAGTTGTACGCATCGATCCCGACGATGAGCTTAAGTCATAGATAAATAGTAAATAGGTACCTATAGGTACACGTCTTGAAGTAATAGATATTATTATGTGTCAAGACATTTAAGTACCTACTCGAGTACCTACATAGTACATAACGCAAACATTGTGACCGTTAAGTTTATATATTTATGTAAGTACATAATATAAGCCATTGCTACACTGCGACGAATTCTTAATTAAATGTTGTTCAATTCGTAATTCCTACGAATCGTGTGTAATAAAACCTCAAACCTCAATCTTAATTATCTCAAAGAATCTTAATCCTTAATTAATATGCCTAACAAATATTTTGTTCCTGCGTGTACATCTGGATATTTGAGTAATACTAAAAAAATAAAAGCAGAAAGGAAGAATGTTCATCCACCACAAGTTATACTTACCCAATAGTTATTTTTTTGTTTTAAATTATAATAATATTTTGTGTACTTATGTACTTTAACATACCTGTAACCCAACTTAACACGTTGACCACTATGAGGACTCTGGTGTCCACAAGTTTTTTTTATTATTCTACTGATCTTTATATAGGTAACATTTTTTTTTAAGACAAAAGAAAACTATACAATACATAAACCTTTATAACTGAATACTAAAATAATTAAATATACAATTAATTATCCATCACACCAATAATAATGAACTGTTTTAATACAAATTTAATTTTGCATAATGTAATTTATATCAACCATTTCTCCAGGGTTCTGACATTCTAAGTTAACTTTTAGAGACTTAATATATTTAAGAACACTAACAAGTACAATGTTTGAATAGGTAGTCTAAATTCTTTATTTATTAATAATCAATGGGCAAAAAAAACATTGCATAGTAATTGGCAAATATGAAACTAATAACAGAGAGATGAATAAAAATACAACTAGAAAGACAGAAAAAACAAATAACAAAAAGAGAATATATCTATAAAAACAAAAATATAAAATGAATTAATCAAATTATTTTGTATTCTGCCAATAATTTATTTTTAAATTTATAATTAAATCATCCATAAACTTTTAAGGTTTATAATATAATTTTAAAAAGCTACATAACGGCTAATACAAGTATTCTAGTATAAACATGAACATTTTAAAATTATTTATCTTGCACGACTTACTGTCTGTATGGGATAATAAAATACCACGGAATGATAGTAACTTATCTGTAAATAGTATTATAATATTATATAGTGCATATTTCATTATATTTATTATAAATTTGAATGAACACTGAAGTCTGAAATTTTAAAACTTAACCGCAGATAATACACAAAACGGCATTACAATGCGGCCTTCTCGATAGCAGCAGGCTGTTGATCGGCCTTTCTAGCTCTACCTTGCTCTAACCAAAGTGCCGTGTAATTAGGACTCACTTTTAAACTCGAGTGACTACACACATGACAAAATAAATATTATTCTGTCATGACTACACCGTTTTACCTACATCGTGGTTCCCAATTATGAAAAACTGAATTTGAAACCCAAATTTAATTTCGGTTTTGGGTGTTTCGGGTTATACGTCATCAAAATCAATCGGGTTATATGGGTTTACGGTTTTGATAATTTTGGCTATACGGGCTAAACGGTATAATCATATTATAGACTGTAGCAGTAGCGTATCTAGGATTTTTTCAAATGTTGGGGGGGATATACAATTTTAAATAGACATTCAGTATACACATATTATATTCATATTATTATGTACAAGTTGTACTGTGTAAGAAATTTGGTCTCCGGGGGGGATATGACCCCCATATCCTCCCCATAGATACGCCACTGTAACAGTTATAACTTATAGTAATATTATTTTGTATACACAGAAATATTCAATATATTTAGACTAATTTTAAGCTATTAATACCATTAATCTTTGTAACTTTGTTATGTTGGTATTTAGTGTAGTGTCTTGGTAATTATTAAATACATAATGCATAGGTTTTTACTGATTCTACATAAAAGTCCGCTTCAACTGCATTCACGGATATTATAATTTATTACTTAGGTAGGTACATATTCAAATTATTGGTATTCTTCTTACAATTGATTAATTGGCAAAAAATATATATATTTTTTTTTTCCTGTTCTCAATAGTTAATATCATTAGTAATAACTAATAATTAAAATTATTTTATTATAATTTAAAATTATTCATTATGCTGCACGCCATAAAAATTAAACAAACTCATTATATTTTGGTTCTTAAATATATTAGTAAGTGTGTACACTAAAAAAACTTATAAATTATATGTTATAGCCTATAGGTAGGTAATAGGTATATTTAATTATTGTTTTAAGAATCTTTTGATGGTTTTTCACGGTTTTTCATTAAAATAATTAAGTACTTACTACCTATATTGTCTTAGTTACCTATATATTAGCTTAAACTACTTGTTTATTTTGTTCTAAAAATAATATTTTATTTAGTAAAAACACAACTATGTCCCTAATTTCATCAAAAGGGTTTTTGGTTGTCTGTCACTATTTGTCATTCAGTTATTGCGACTATCAAATTTGAACACTGTATTTCTATCATGGATTTCTATCATGGCCTATGTTTAACTTTTCTGTCCCTTCAAAAGTACTCCATATATTTTTTATATTATAATTTATAAGTATATTTATCAATTGAGAATAATTTAATATTTTGTCTTTTGGAGTCGTTGAATTGGAAGGTGGGTTGTCGACCAGTTTATAACACAACTTATTGTATAGACCAACCAATAGCCATAGGTCAACACGATATTAGTTCAGCATTTTCTCAAATGATGAGCATTGATTTTATTTATATATTTTATTCATAACCTTGTAGATTAATTAAAATAATACATTGTGTATGATTCCAGGATGTTTTATGAATTATGACCCAAAAATAAGCTGACAGTAATATCAAATATGGCTGACAGTAATATGGCTTTTTTCATGCATTTGAATAGAGAAGAATATACAGAATTTATCTCCGGTTGTGGAGCTGCTATTATTAATGTGGGCATTACCTTCCCAATCAATAAAACCATATTCAGACAGGTATTCATTTTTTTAATAAATTACATTATTCAGCTTTTTGCTCGGCTATTTGTATATATATGGTCTAGAGCTAAAATTGCAGAGTAGATGGTGATATAGATATATAACATTAATATTGACTAACCTAAAAGTACTATTGTTTTTATTTTACCTATTTAATAATGTAAATATGCGGAAGCCATAAACAAAATAAATTGTAAATTTTAAACAATATATTATAAATTATTTCCAATAAATAGTAACCATATTGTTGTTTTGAGACTTTGAAATAGCAAAAAGTAATATGATTTACATCTAGATAGAAATTTACATATATTATAATAGTTGAGAATATGCATGATTTTTAAGAACAAAATGCAAACATCAAGATTCTAAAGCACCTATACAGTTTTCTTTAAAAAATAATTATAATTCGTAAAAAATTCAGTATATGCTATAAGTCCCACTTAGCCACAATGATTAGTATCAACCTACATTTTTTACAATACAATAAGAACTTTATTTTGAGAGGCCTTACAATTATTTATAATTACCTATCTGCTATAGTGCCAATAACATAGTTTGATTCATGTGTTTGAAGTCACTAGTATCTTCTAGCTAATTTATGTTCAAATTTTTTTGTTATGATTTTCCAGTATACTTCATGCATTGAGTTAGTTGGCTAAACAATATGAATTTCCTTGTATATAATGATTATTAATCAAGAATGTTATTGATGATTATTCAGTGAACAGTAAAATTTGTCTAATAACACAATTTTCTAAAAGCTTTGGACTCCGGCAGTTACATGCAAGAATACACTGCATGTCTAAATCTGGTGTCCTACCCATTGGCACAAATCTGAGAGTTTAGCCCCCCCTAATTCAAAAGTTATTACTTTGTACTAAGAATATATTATTTTTAGAAAATATTATGGGAAGGGAAGGGATCTCTAGTGCCCCCAAAGAAATTGGGCTATTTACGCCTATAGTATAGTATGCCTACAGTCATATTTCTGAAAGCAAGCCACATATATGAAAAAAAAACTATATAAAACTTGATAAGTTCCACTTTATTTGAAGTTTTTTTAAATGGTCTATTTTTACAAAACATTATACCAAATTATAAGCACAATTTTGGATAGTTTACCAATGATTGACCTCCATTATTGTTAATATTTAAATGTATCATATTATTACATATAATTATTGAAATATAGAATATATTATATAATAGGTGTTCAAACTATGATAATTTCAAAATTTTAAATAAAATAATGATTTAGATTTATTTACTTACAGTACATTGTTTGTATTTAATATTATTATTATTATACTGTGGAAACACAAAATTCTATAACTCAGTACATTTTGCATATTATTGAATTCGGATTTCAGAACAAGATACTAACACGCAACTTAATTTTTTTAAATGAAAATCTTCATTTCAATATTATATTTTGATTGGTCGAAATTTTTAAAGTTATTTTGTTGCATCTACTTGTATTCTAAATTCAAAAACTGATGAATGAGTGTACCAAAACACCCCCTCCTAAATTTGTAAGTATGGGTTGGTTAAATATGTATACAATTAACCCTTTGACAATACTATTAATTTTTATCGGCATTAAAGTTTGAAAGGATATAAATTTAAAGTTCGCACAAAAAAAAAAAATTAATTGTCTATACATCATATTGGTAGAATGTTCAATTTTTTTGTAGCGTGTATGTTGTGTAGTATCTTTGTATATTAATGATTTTTTTTCTCTCTTTATTTTCATATTTTCTGAGTGGAACGATGAATGTATTGATTTTACAATGATTAGTGTTTTTTAATTTTTTTAATTTTTGTGTCTGTTTACACGATTCAGATTAGTAGTCGAAATAATGTTTCAAATATCAACTTCAGTATCTTGTTCGATGGGAAAGTGAATCTAGTTGGTACTTTTAGGAGGTCAAAATTAAAAATTCCCAATACTTTTCAAAAGCGTCCAGTAAAACAAAATAAAAATTAAGGGAAAACGGGAATTTTTACGCAAAATCGGTTTTTGACGAAATCGATTTTGGCTTTTGGTGTAACTCTAAAACAAATAATCGTAAGCACATGAAATTTCACTGAATGTTTATATTAGCCTTTTCTATACATGAAAACATTTTCAAAAAATGTTGACTTGTTTTGAGCTGTTTACTGATATATTCATATTTGAACTTTTTTAGGTTTTTTTTCTATGAATGTCAATAAAACTTTATTTGTTTGGTAAAAAAGCTTGACAATTTAATACAAAGCTCATATTATGTTGTTACAATGATGTTTAAAAAATATTAAAAATCCTTAGTCATAGTTTTTTTTTATAAGCATTTAAAGTTCAAATATTGACAAAATACAGAAAAAACACGAAATCTTGCAAATTATTTTTAGTTCATAAAATTTTTCTTTTTAAATCTAAGATTTGAAAATGTAATACAAGATTTTTCATAAGTTTGTCTACCTTTATCATAAAAAAAAAATGTCTACCGCAAAGTGAAATTAAATTTTTATGAGCATTTTAAATTCATATTTATACAAAATTTGTTATTCACTCGATTTCTCATGTAACGATTTTCTTATTTTGATATAATTCAAAAACGAATGATTCTAGATACATGCAAATTTAACTGAATGTTTATTTCATCAATTCTTATACTTGATAAAATTTTCAAAATATTTTTATGCTTTTTGAGCTGTTTACATGCATAGTCATTTATAATGATCCACTCGGTCCACCGAAATCTGGACATTGGTCAGAGCGTTAGGACAGGCGCCCGATGACGGCTGGCGATGACTGTTGGCCAATCACAGACACATAGCCATCGCATGGGGAGTCAGGCACTGTTCTACGGCTCAGTCTGCGTGTACGAAAGCGGTTCACTCTTAGATGGACCCGAGTATAATCTAATATATTTTATTATTTTTTATTATAGGTACTTATACATTTCTGTGGCAACATACATGATATGTACAAATTAAAAAACTATTTACCTACGATTTTGTAATTTTTATTTCTATTATAAACTAAATGTATACCTTCTCCTTTAATGATAATGTTTAAGATTTCAAAAATTTTTGGCTGTAGGTTTTTATCATGCCTCATAATGACAATTTTTTGATTAAGACTTGTATTTAGTATTTAACTTTGTTAGCCCCCAAAATCCAAACAAGTTAAATTATATGCTATCATGACGTGGCCCAAAATATAAACTCAAGTTAACTTTTTTTTTTAAATATTTCAAAAACTTATTACCGGGTACAGAAAACCTCAAAATCTGTTATTTTTCTTGTTAGATTAGTATAATATTATTTGTTTCACACAATTGTCTTTTTATCATTTTCTAATAATCAGAAAATTTTAGGCAATTTTCTGTGCAAAGTTTCTCATGCTAATGAAATATATTCGTTTAGTAAAAACTGTCTTTAAGTGCCAATGTAATTTTTTCCAAAAAACTTCACTATATGGGAATAATTATTCTGTTCTGTAGAATCAATCAAATTTGGTAATTTTTTTAAAGTTATAGAAGGTAATATTCTACAGGACACATTCAACTCCGTTTTTTTAAATTTTAATCTCAAACTTTTTATTATTTCTTGAAATATAATAAAATGTTAAGCTTTTTTTTACAAATTATATTATGCTATTATTTGAAATTAATTACTACATTTAAGTTATTTACATTTATATGTTTGAATTATATTTATTTTAGATGCTACATGGAGTAGGCCTAAGGAATGCAGCTTCACAACTTAAGAATGAGGGGTTTTCTACTCTTTATCGAGGGATTTATCCGCCATTATTTCAGAAGACAATCTCTACATCATTAATGTTTGGCACTTATGACGTAATCCAAAAATCACTTCTGGATTCTAATTTAAACTGCAGATTATCCAAAGTTATTGCAGCATTGGTGGCTGGTACAACGGAAGCTACGTTAACACCGTTTGAGCGAGTACAAACATTACTTCAAGACAACCACTATAATAAAAATTTTCTAAATATGCGACATGCAATAAAAGTTATTGCTACTGATTATTCAGTATCTGAATTTTACCGTGGTCTTACACCGATTTTGTTGCGCAATGGGCCCTCTAACATTTCCTTTTTCTTATTACGTGAAGCTGCCAATTCTTATATTGTTATACCTCCTTCAGTATGGACAGGCTATAAACTATTTAAAGAGTTTCTGACTGGGGCTTTTATAGGTGCTTTAAACAGTGCTCTTTTTTATCCATGTAATGTAATCAAAGTGCACATGCAAAGCAACTTGGGTGGCCCATTTAAAAGTATTAAAGAAGCCGCAATCGAAATTTATCAAGAACGTGGAAATAGGGTATCATGTTTTTATCGAGGAGTACACATGAATTATACAAGGGCATTTGTTAGTTGGGGTGTGATTAATGTTGTTTATGAAAATTTAAAATGTTTTCTAAAAAATAATTAAATCATATGTAATATTAGATGTGTTTGTTCAATATTTATTACACTAACTTGCTTAATAAATACTGTTATTGTAGTCACAACCTCAGTAATTATTTGTATTATTATAATAATGGGTTATTTGAATAAATACATTAACTCAAGATTGTTTTAATTTAAATTGAGACTATAGAGGGCATAAGCCCCCCCAAACTAAGCTGTAGTCCCCCCCAAAAACCTAGGACATAACATTTTTATTAAATGCTATATTGCAATGGTCTGCTTGCATTTAATATATTCATTCCCACAAGCCAAAAGTTGAAATTACACCTGTGGGCTCAATTAGAGGTCAAACACAACAATAATATACCATACTTAAATTTTATAATTACTATAACCATTCTTTAATGCACCGTTAACACATAAGGACACTAATATTTAAGTAAATCAACAGCAATATACCTGATACCTAAATACATAAGGTATATTATTTAGGTGATAAAAATAGTAACCCGGAAGTATAAACGGATAAAAAAAAAATATGGTCAAGTGGGTACCGCTTTGCTGTACAATATTTGTTGAGCATGTCGTTGTAATGGATGTGTTATATTTTAATTAAATATGAAAAAAAGTGGGCAAGTGGGTGTCGCTCTGCTGTACAGTAGGTTACAAGTGGGTCACTGTATAATGGATGATATTAAATTTGAATTCAACAATATAATATCATTGTATAAGAAAAACGATTCTAAGCGGAGACGGTATGTCAGTCTAGGTATAAGACATATTATATACATATCTATGGTATTAAACCAAAATTTGACCTATAATAGGTACCTATAATAAATTCCAAAAAAATCATATCACAATATCCATTAGGTACATTACATCAACAAAAACCGTGATACTATCATAATTCATAGATATATAATAGTACACTTTAGAAGTTTCAAGTACTTACGAATAACATTATTCAATCACAACAAAATAACTAAAATAGTTATTCTGGGTTTTTTAATATGTAATTTCGTCCAAATTTGAATTTAAAATGTCTGTAAAAAATAACTGTGTTCATATATTTTTTAGATTTTTTGGTTACAGTATGAACTATTTATGAGAACATTTGTTTTAAATTTGCAATCCTTAGCTATGAAAACTGAACATTTTATAATTTATTAATTACAATGATTGATAATTTTCGAGATTTTGATAAATTTTGTCAAAATTCGATCTTTAAATGCTTATAAAAAAAAACTGTGCCTATGTATTTTTAAAATTTTTCTATTGCTATTGTAACAATGTATTAGGAGCCTTGTATTCAATTTTTACACTTTTTGGCCCAACAGATAAAACTATTGATATTTATAGAAAAAAAACTAAAAAAATTGAAAACTGAAAATGTCCGTAAACAGCTCAAAAAAGTCAAAATATTTTCAAAATTGTACAGTGTATAGAAAATGCTAATATGAACATTCCGGATTTGGTAAATTGAGTCCTATATTACTATTTTTAGGTAAACTGAGTCCCCTGTAAAAAAATTAAAGCGGTGAATTGAGTCCCCTGTAAAAAAATGAAAGCGGTGAATTGAGTCCCTTGTGAAAAAATGAAAGTGGTGAATTGAGTCCCTTATAAAATATTTATTCTAGTAAATTAATAATGCTTATTAAATAGGTAATCAATGTCAACTTTTAAATGAATAATACATAATACATATAATAATTAATTTTGTCAATAATAATAATAATGGGTAATCAATGTCAACTTTTAAATGAATAATACATAATACATATAATAATTAATTTTGTCAATAATAATAATAATGGGTAATCAATGTTAATATAATAATAAATAATACTCTTGATATTAAACGGGTAAATATTTTAATGATACGAGCTTAATAAATTGAAGTCTACTAATTTCATTATTTTTGTACTTCGTCATTTGTTCTCTTAATATATTCTCCTTTTCTATGTTGTGTTTTGATTTTTTGCATAGCTCTTTACTTCTTATTTGAATATATGTATTAGATTGGATTTCTTTGAGTGCATCAATAAAAATATAAATATTTGGATGTGAAGTATAAAATAAACTATTCAGCTTTGCGTGAAATGATTCACAACTATTTGTTGTACGATTAGATATTGTCGAAAATTCAGCCCAAAGATTAGGCGGGAATGTAGAATCTGATGCAATGTATGTTTTTAAAATATAATCGGTGAATAATTTTATATTTTCATTTGCAGGAAGCTTTGGCATAATATCTTCAATGAAACAATCGTAAACATCGTTCGGTCTTAAAAATGGTAAACCAAAAAAAATTTTTAAAAAATTACTTTCTTCCGAATTTCGTTTTTTATAATTTGTACTTAAGCCAAGGCATTGTATTTTTTTCCACCAACTTTGTCCAAGGTGAAAACGACAACCTTTAATATTAATTGCTGGCCAAACTTGTTGCGCGGCATTATGTATAGATTTTTCAAAGTCAATAAAAATATATTTTGGTGAAAATGTTAAACCAACAATTGTACACTGGTCCATCGTATACTTAAAAGAATAAAAATAAGATTTGGTTTCCTTATTTGGCAATAAAAAAAAAACTAGTGGTACATACATTTCATTCACAAGTGCGTGAATTGTAAAGATTTGTAAAAAATATTTGGGACAACTTTTAAAAGTACCGTCAACGTATATCGTATTTGTATCACATAAAACCATTAAGTTGGACGTTGTTGAAAATCCGATAATATTATTATCGTGATCATTAACCATTAGAAAGGGTTCGTCCGTATTTGTTTTAATTATTATTTTATTAATAACTTCATGCGTTTCAATTACAGTTTTTGGTAAATTAGGGTGGATAGTTGATCGAATATTTCGTATATTTCTTTTAATAAGAGTCGTATCTGACAAAGTTAATGTATTTACGTTTTCTCTTTGTAATTCGGAGTGTAAAAGTTTGGATGGCTTACTTGAAATATCTTCGACAGCTTTTCGTTTGAGACTATTGCTAAGTTTTTGCCGGTTCAAAGTTTTTTCGTCTGGTTTATTGTGTTTGTGATCTTCAAAACTATCAATAACTGTGTTTGAATCATTGATTTTCATATAGCACTTACATGTACTTAAGGAGCAAGTCCACCGCTGAACTTCATTCTTTAACATTTTATGGAACCGAAATTTGTAACCATTAGAAATAAAAATTGTTTTATTACGTTCACTTTTCATTACGTCCATTATTAATGTTGATATAGATGTGCTTTATACTCGCAATAACTAATGGTGCACGACTGTCGACTGTATGTATAGGTAATTTTGAAAACTAGTCTACAGTAATCGCATCTAAAAACGATAAGATAAGTATTTTATTAATACGCGACATTGATGTGCTTATATGCTCGCAATAACTAATGGTGCACGCGCGATTATACGTATAGGTAATTTTGAAAACTAGTCTAATAATATACGAGAGACTCAATTCACCGCTTTCATTTTTTTACAGGGGACTCAATTCACCGCTTTCATTTTTTTACAGGGGACTCAATTCACCGCTTTAACTTTTATACAAGGGACTCGATTCACCGCTTTTGAAAAACAGTAATTTTATTTGGGACTCAATTTACCTACGCCCGAACATTCAGTGAAATTTTCATGTATTTACAGTTCTTCGTTTTTGAATTGCAACAAAATAAGGAAATCGCTACATGAGAAATCGAGTGAATATCCAATGTAAAAATTTGAATTTCAAACGCTCATAAAAATTTAATTTGACTTTCTTATAGACATTTTTTTTTTGATAAAGGTAGATAATCTTATAAGGAATCTTGTATTACATTTTCAAATCTTAGATTTAAAGAGAAAAATTTTTACGAATTCTATTAACTCAAAATAATTTGAGAACTTATTATTACACGTAAGTACCATTCTTTGCATGATATCGCAGTGTTTTTGGTTTTTTTCTATGAACTTTGCTAGTTGTTGATAATATTATTATGTTTTTTTGGTCAAAAATCTTGAAAATTCAATACAAGTTTACTCGTGAGGTTTATACACTAGTAGGTAAAGAACAACCGAAAGTAACCTGTACCTATACAATTTAGACAACATATTACTATTCACAAGCCGCATAAGTTAATTTTACCCCAACGTGTTGACGCGTTTATTAAATAATAATATCAAATAAATAACAAAACAAAAACATTTATTTGTGTAAACTTACATAATATAGGTTATGGTTATTCGATTATACATAATATACGGCAGTATTAATATCCATCATTTATAATAATTGATCGGTATAATTTATTTATTTAATTATAGAAGCGGAGGGCAGCAGTATTTACCGACAATTTCTTCCACAGCAGATCTATATGATACAAGCGGCGCATTTCGACGGTAACCAAAGTCAGTACAGCGCGTGTGACTTGGGGAAACGTCCAAACTTCGGAGCAAACTCAGAATGAACGCGTACAATGACGGAAGTAAACAGATTTTGACGGATTTTCCGGCAAACATGAGGACCGGACACGAAAGTGCCGATCAAGCTTGGGATGAACACGCAAAACACACAACACTATACATTGCGGTCTATAGCTCCGCAACAAACCATTCGCCGGACGAATCTCTTCGTCCGGCTCCACAGAGAACGGCGTCTCGGAACTACCGCTGTTACCGTCGGGTTCGTGACTGAGTCACTGCGGTCGCCGTGCAGGGTTAGCACCATATCCTGGTTACTATTTGCCAGGTGGACTGATGGTTTCGTCGTACAGTTTTTACATTCGGCACCCTCAAACTGGAAAGCTGCCATGTTGCACGTCGGAGTTGACTGCAGCACGTCGTCGGCTTCGACCGGCCTAACACGTGGCAAAGATGACGACATGGTTGACGACGACTCGATCTCGCCAACTTCTGCAGTGGCTGCAGGTGTCGTACCTGACAACTCAGTGGACGGTGAATCAGTCGTAACTTGCATCTCCACCATGGGTGCGACCGGAGGCAAATCGATACCGGGTACATCGCTTGCGGAGTTTGATC